ACCTTCCTTCTGAGGAGTGGCTGGTGGGTTTGAACCGCCAGCCTTCTGGTTAGCAGTCAAGTGCTTTAGCCACTATGCTACCAGAGCTCCTCAGGGAATTGAAAATATATAACCTGAAAAAGAGGAAAACAGCTCCTGACATCAAGGAGCTGGCCTGGCATAATCACGTAGTCATCTTGGTGTTCTCCTATTGGACATAATGTCAACATCACAGTAGGCCACTATGTGATTGTATTGGACAAGACAAAAGACAAAATCAAGACTATTTCGTAAATACAGTGAGGTTAGAAAAAAATTATTATTGAAAACAAAAGACAGAACATTCCCCTATTCAAACTAATCTGAGTGACTGCTGCTTCTTTCCTAATTATAGTTTTAGCCTTATTTCATTGTTCTTGCCTTTAGATAAGCTTTATTAAGACACCTAATCACTGGATTATCCTAGCTTCCTGACAGCATCCACTACAATGAACCATTGTACCGAACCAACACAAGCCAAAATCTTTTAATACTCCATTCTTATATTCTCTTACTAAGCTGCTCTTTAACTCACCATGTTGAGGGCTCTCCCTGACTGCAATAAGTAATAAACCCAAATTGTTCAGTTATAGATGTGTTCCTGGTGATCTTTGACTTGACAAACTATTCATATTCTAAAAGACATTGAATTGTTTTATGAATCCCTCATTAAAATGAACATATGTTGGGGAGTGGATAATTGGTCAGAATTGTAATGCAGTGCAAATTGATCATTCATAATTATTGAAATTGGTAGGATAAAATAATTTCATCAAATACACTTCAATTCTGATGATGAAATTTTTAACATGAAAGCTGCTAACATCTTTATTTCTATTTTGGTTATTCCGCATATTTGGTTGTTTTTACTCACTTACCTTTCAGATTCATTAATTCCCACTCTCCAAACTAGTATTTTATTATTTTCTTCTTGATGTCATCCTGATAACCACAATATGATTTCCTTTACTGATTTGGTTTTGATTTGTTTGTACTATAAAAATATATACTTTTTTTTTTTCTAAATGTGTTTGTGTCGTCTTCCTTACCTCTATCTTATTTCCTTCTGCATTTTTAACCATTGTCATAGTCTATCTTTTTCTTTCTTGTGTTAAATGTCCATCTATACTCAGTGTGGTAGTTGAGTTGGTGTGTCAGCTTGGCTGGGCTGTGTTTTTGAGTGGCTGGTCAGCTGGATGTAGTTATTCCCCATGATGAGATTGTAATCCTTCATAGTGGATTACAATCCACTATGAGCAGCTAAGTAGTTGCCTTCATGATGTGGTGTGCTTCAGCATATAAAGAGAAACTGTAAGATCTCTAGCTTTTGGCACATCTGGGCCCTGTATTTGGCTGAGTCTTTATCTCAACATCCTGCCATATTGCCTATCAATCTTGGGATTGGTCCTGGACTTGACCTAGTGGCCTGCTGTGTTGTCTACTAATGTTGGGACTACGCCATTTTACCTGTAAATCTTGGGTTCATCAGTGTCAGCAACCAGCAGCTGCCTGAGTCAGAGAAAGCCTCCAGTTCTTGTGGGCCTGGAACAGGAGGCAGAGCTAAACCTAAAGTCGAGATGCCTACACCCAGCCTCCTACCCTCCTAAAGTGTATGAGAATAAATTCCTGTTTTTCAAAGCCATCCACTTGTGATTTTTCTGTTATAGTAGCACTGTTGTTGTTGTTGTTAGGTGCCTTCGAGTCGTTTCTGACTCATAGCGACCCCATGCACAGAGGAACAAAACACTGCCCGATCCTGCACTAGCTCCACAATCCCTGCTATACTTGAGCCCATCATCACAGCCACCATGTCAGTCCATCTCGTTGAAGGCCTCCCCTTCTTTCGTCGACCCTCCACCCTACCAAACATGACATCCTTCTCCAAGGAATGGTCCCTTCTGACAACATGGCCAAAATAGGTGAGATGAAGTCTGGCCATTCTTGCTTCCAAGGAGCATTTCGGGTGCACTTCCTCCAGGACAGATCTGTTAGTTCTTTTAGCAGTCCATGGTACTTTCAGCATTCTTCACCAGCACCACAACTCAAAAGCATCAACTCTTCTTTGGTCTTCCTTATTTGTTGTCCAGCTCTCACATGCATATGAGGCGATTGGAAATATCATGGCTTGTGTCAGGCACACCTTAGTCCTCAAGGAGATATCCTTGCTCCTCAGCACTTGAAACAGTTCCTTCACAGTTGACTTTCCCAATGCTACACATCATCTAATGTCCTGACTGCTGCTTCCATTGGCATCGATTGTAGAACCAAGCAATGTGAATAGCAGCCCTAGATAACGAATATACTCAGACAACTCGCAATTAACTGCATGGAAAATCCACGTGAAAGATCTTCTCTCAAATTCTGTGTGCTAACCTCTGCATTAGTTTACCATTGCTGCTGTAACAAATTGCTACAAATTTAGTGATTTAAGACAATATAAATGTATTACCTTATAGAGGTCAGAAGTCTTAAATAGGTCTTACAGTGCTAAAATCATAGTATCAGCAGGTCTAGAGGCTCTAGGGGAGAATTTGTTTTCTTGAATTTTTGGTCCTAGGAGCTATCCTCATTCTTTGACTTGTGGCCCTATATCATATCATCATATTGTCCCTCTGCTCCTGTCATCATGTTGCCTTCTTCCTTTGACCTCTTGCTGCTAATGTTGGGACTGTTTTATTGTTTTGAGTGATACGGTTTCCTAAAATTCTAGGTAAAGTCTCAGTCACATGTGAATACAAATATTCATATCATACCAAAGATGAAAGCAAATGGTTCTTTCTTGATTTTCATTTGGTGCTGGCTATGCATTTTTGCATATAATCGTAAATTAATTCTGAGTTTTCCTTTCTCCCAGAGTCATGAAATAATCTTTTTCTTTCAAAAATAATGTTTGATCTGTAGCCCTTTAAAGGAATTTTTTAAGGTAGTATTTTTCATATCATTAATTTATTAATATAGTGATTGTGAAAAAATATACTAAACTCAATATATGATGTGATTCATCTGAACTCTGAAGATAATCCTTTCATTCTTCTTTTTCTATCTTTTTTTTTATAAAATACGTGCTTCTTTTACATGTTTCTATCCATGTAATGTATATTGCAATCTATGTTAATGGAAATATGTAATGCAGAGTCAATGATGGCGCAAACTATAATTTAACATCAATAGAAATTAATTAAAATGTTAATATAATGCAAATGCAATTTTTTTATACAGCAGAGAATTTCAAGATACTAAGTCATGGAGTACTTAGGCAATAGGAATGTGATGTGGATACTTACCCTTAACAACAAAATGAGTAACTATACCAATGGCAATTCCTATGATTGCTACAATTGCCAATGTGAAAAGAGCCAGCCGTATAGGACCCCAAAATTGCTGTCTTCTTTGATATTCAAGTCGTGGGTATTCAGGTTCTGAAATGTCAAGTGGTCTATTATAATAGAAAGAAAAAAAATATAACAATTAAAACTTCATTTTGCTTCTGCTGTATGTCTTCTTCCTGTATTCCTCTAAGAAAATAGTTCATACTACTGAATGACAGTGGACTACTTAGATCTTGAAAAGAACATAAGATTTTAATTTGTATCCCCTCTCTAACACCCTAATCGCAGTATATGTTTAAGTTAAAGCGCTGCTGATGTTAAAATTCAAATAAGGATCTCTTCCCTTTGTATTTAGTCTCTGGCGTGTTGGCATTTTGGAAGTTGATGCTGAAATACCAAGGCTCAGTTAATGAAAAGGTAACTTATGAATAACATTTTCATGTCACTTAAAAAAGGAAGTTTTTAGCAACAGTTACATAGTAATCTCATGAGTTTTACTTGGTTAAAAATAAAAGATTTTAATGTGTCCACTTTTTAATGAAATTAAAAAATAATAATTATAAAAGTAGCAACATTACTTTTGAAAAACTGATCATGATTTTTTTTTTTTTTTTTTTTTAGTAACACCTTCTAGTGAAATCTTGAACTATGAGTTGTACTGGATAAGTTTGCACTGCCAGCCTCCATGAACACCTTCATTTCCACTTGTCTCCTTCCTGTCCCCACTCCTACCTGCATGACTTCTCCTTTCCAAAATATTTTATATCATTATTTATTTTCCTCTTATCTAAAAGTTGGCATACATTTATTTTATTTTCTGAATCTCCAGGTAGGATTTAATACTGTAGTATTTTGAAAGTGAAACATTTTTGAAAAATTTTTTATACTTTGAATTTTATTTAACAAATTTTATTGTAAACATTATTTAATTAAATGAGAGAATGCAGTTTGTAGAATAGTGCTTGCATATTAAAAGTGTCTCAGAAACATTATTATGCCACTAGGTCCCTAAAACAAAACTCATTGCCATTGAGTTGGTTTGACTCATAGTGACCCCTCCTTGGGTTTCTGAGGTGGTATCTCTATGAAGTGGATTGCCCAGTCTTCCAAGGCGTGCGTGGCTGGTGCGTTTGAACCACCAGACTTCTGGTTAGCAGTCAAATGCCTTAGACATTATGCCACCAGAGCTCCCCCAGGTCCCTAAAGGCATAAATATTTATGACATACAATTTACCTTTAGGATGGTCACAATTTAAAAGGAAAGACAGATATAGAATCAAGTAGTTAATACACAGTGTAAAAAGTGCCAAAACATGTCTGAATACAAAGAAAAAGCAATTAAGTTATTGAGGGAGTGTGAGTGTCAGATTTTACCAATAAAGTGATGTGATTAAAACTTTGAAGAGTAAAAATTCTTCAAGTAGAAAAAAGAGAAGACAATAGAAGAAATAGCATACAAAATAACAAAACGGCTAGACTTGTGAAATAGCATTAATTATTAATAATTACTACAAGAAATAAAAGTCTAAATAAAACATGGCTTCTGTCCTTAAAGAAAGTGTGGTCTGCCAAAGTATGTTCAAGATTTGTAAATCATTCACTATATTGTTAGACTGGGAAAGGATGTAAATAGACAAGTGGGCTGGGGCCAATTCATGAGTCTCATAACCCAAGATTAAAGCCTTGAAATGTACTCTGCAGGAGATGAGGAACTAATAAAAGTTTTAATAATATTGGTAATTTATAATAATCACACTGGTATGAATGAAGGTGAGGATTAAGGTAAACATGCAGATTAAGTATACCAGTTTGTAGTTCACTGTAGGTTCAAAGGTATAGGAGGGAGATGCTATGTGCCTTAACTAAGAGTGTGGAAGTTGGGTAGAGATGAGAAAGTAGATTTAGCTCATGTCTTCCAGCTTTGTCAAGTGAATGATTAACTGTGGGATAAAGGATAAATGGTCTGTTTGCTTGGACATCCATGTAAATGGTGTGTGTCTCCAGGAAAGATGAAGATAAAATGAGAAAGAAAATGTGTTTGCAATAGATATACACATCAAAGTTATTAACAGAGATCAATTTTCTGTCCTTACACCTGTGCCTTGCCAAAGGAAAAATCATTTTTATGTCCTTTCTCTTTGACTCATTTTATTTTAGTTGTATCATTAATATCTGGTTACAGGATTCTAATAAAAGCTATTGTTAAGGTTAGAACCACACACCTAGAAAAACCAAAAAAGGTACTAATATCTCAGGTGTAATGCCTTATTCTTCACTCATAAATGAATGCTTCAGTCCCCAAATCTACAGCAATACACAATTACTTAGCTTGTGGAGGTTTTGGTTGATGTATTTTTTTTTTTTAATTCTCATATGATATTTTCTTAAATTTCATTGTACATCATTTCATTGATGTATATTGAGCTCTTCAATATGCAAAAAAAATAATGATGAGAATAAAATTTCTTCAAATTTATGGGGTGACAACTAAGTTACAGAGCTCTGATGATGCTGTGGTTAAGACTTTGGGCTGCTAACCAAAAGATTGGCAATTCAAACCCACCAGCTGCTCCATGGAAGAAAGAGGAAGCAATCTGCTTCTATAAAGATTTACAGCCATGGAAATCCTATGGAGTCCCTATGACTTGGAATTGACTTGATGGCTGTGGGTTTGGTTTTTTTGTTAACTAAGTCTTATGCCATAACACTGACTCTTTTTTGTTTAATTATGGACATAGTTAAATATAAAATTGGTTTCTCTTGTCTGATGATCAACGATTTTCATTTCAATGGAACTGGACTGTAACTTCTGTCTCAGTATATCTGAAATACATTTTACCATATAATCATTTCCATGTTTTGAAGTGTATCTGATAGGAGCTTTATGTAGATGCCAGGCAGTTGAAAGAATTTGCAAATTTTATCATATACTTTATACTCTAATTGGGGAAAACAAGATATTTTAAAAACAACAAACCATATTATACAATTTTAAAGAAAGTTATTGGCCAGGGTGTAAGAAAATACTGTGATGAGTTAATAAATAAAACAATGAAATATAGTCAAGGCCCTTAAATGTAAATGATTTTAAAGAACTTGACTGTGCTAAGTTAGAAATATTTTTTTTTAATGTATAACTTGTTCAAACTTTGCAAATGTGGTTTAATTTTGATGAAATTTTAAATTACTTATTTAAAAACAATTTTCTATGTTTATCCTCAAATACTCATTTGTCAGTTGTCATACTATGGTGGCTTATGTGTTGCTGTGATGCTGAAAGTTAGGCCACTGGTGTTTCAAACTACAATGTCACCTGTGGTGGACAGACTTCAGTGGATTTTCCAAACTAACACAAACTAAGAAGAAGTATGTAGCAGTCTGCTTCTGAAAAAAATGGCCATTGAAAACTTTATGAATAGCAGTGAAACATTGTCTGATATAATGCCAGAAGACGATTCCCTCAGGTTGGAAGGCACTCAAAACACAACAGGGAAAGAGCTCAAAATTGAGGTGACCTTAATGACATAGAACAAGTAAAGTTTTCAGGATCTTCATTTGCTGTTGTGACACAACTCAAAATGAGAAGAAACAGCTACAAATATCCATTAATAATTGGAACATGGAATGTACAGAGTATGAATCTAGGAAAATTTGAAGTTATCAGAAGTGAAATGAAACATAAAGATTGATATCCTAGGCATTAAAAAAAAAAAAAAACCCTCACTGCCAGTGAATCCATTCCGACTCAGAGCGACCCCCTTTTGGTTTCCAAGGCAGTAAATCCTTATCCTAGGCATTAGTGAGTTGAAATGGAGCCCATTTTGAATCAGACTTTCATAAGGTTTACTGTCCCAGGAATGACAGAGTGAAGATGAATGGCATCACAATTATTCATTGACAAAAAGAACATTTCAAGATCTATCCTGAAGTAAAAGGCTGTCAGTGATAGAATAATACCCATATGCCTACAGACAAGACTAGTTTATACTACTGTGGTATATTAAGTTTGTGTGTCAACTTGGCTGGGCCTGATTGAGTGATGTCAGGCAGCTGGATGTAATTATTCCCCATGGTGAAATTGGTAATTAACTCCATGGTGGGATATATTGGAGCAGCTGAGTAGCTATTTTAGGGATGAGGTTTGCTTCCTATATATAAGAAACAGCTTTGGGAATGGTCTTCAGACTTTTGGCATGCTTAAACCCTGCATGTAGCCAAGTCATTGCTCAACAGCCTGACATGCCCTGCTGATCTTGGGAATTCATCTGGACTTGAATTAGTGTCCTGCCATGTTGTTTGGTAACATTGGGACTGTACCTTTTTACTTGTCAACCTTGGGCTTGTCAGCTTCAGCAGCCAGCAGCTGTCTGAGTGAAGAAAAGCCTCCAGCTTCAGTGGGCTGGGAGCATGAGGCAGAGCTGAAGGCCAAGGTTGAGGGGCTTTCACTCAGCCCCTAGAGCCTGGTACTTTGAACTCAGACTTTATAAAGCCTCCCAAACTGTAAGAGAATAAACTCCCGTTTGTTCAAGCCATCCCATTTGTGGTATATTTCTGTTAGAGCAGAACAGAGGTAACAAAAACAACTACTATTATCCAAATTTATGCAGTAACCGCTAAAATCAAAGATGAAGAAATTGAAGATTTTTATCAACTTCTGCAGTCTGAAAATGACCAAACATGCAATCAAGATGTATTGATTATTATTGGTGATTGGGATGTGAAAGTTAGAAACAAAGAAGCAGCACTAGTGGTTGGATAATATGGTCTTGGTGAAAGAAATGATGCCAGAGACCACATGTTAGAAATTTACAAGACCAATGACTTATTCATTGCAAATACCTTTTTCCAAAAACGTAAATGGCAACTATACAGGTGAATCTCACCATATGGAATGCACAGGAATCAAATTGACTACATCTGTGGAAAGAGGCTATGGAGAAGCTCAGTATCAGTCAGAACAAGGCCATGAGATGATTATGGAACAGACTATTAATTTCTCATATGCAATTTCAAGTTGAAACAGAAGAAAATTAAAACAAATCCACAAAACTCAATACATGACCTTGATTATATTCCATCTCAATTTAGAGACTATCTTAAGAATAGA